CCATCAAGGCACTACCTACTTTGTTCCAGGTTAGAATGTCTATATATCTTATTGCAGCAGTAAAATATGTGCAGGTTGAATATAAAAACTGGTTAAGGTTTTAAGGTACAATGCAGCTGCACAAAATATGTATTACAAGCCAATGATGAAACATAGATCCTTTGTAAGAAATGTTAAGTATTTTTATGTAGTTGGTGAATTACTATATCTATATGAACTCTGGGAAAAAATATCCACATGTTGGGAGTAAGATTTGTTTTAATCAACAAAAGAGGATCTAGCTGTGCAGAGTTCCTTGCAAACTCTGGATTCAAATTTGTATAAAGATTTTGATTTACTATTAAAATAATTATTCAAAAACATTATAAATGTGTTTAATTTTTTTATTTTTAAAATTAAATTACAGTATACTTATCACCTCATTTTATTTTGAAAGGCAAAAAGAGCAAGAACACTTCCACTGTATTTTAATCCAAAATTCTTCAATACGAAAAATGGCTACCATAGGATATGTCATTTTTAGGCCTTAAACCAGCAAAGTACATAAATATAGGAGTAGTCATTGATTTCAATGGAATTATTATTCATGTGCTTAAAATTGGACACTTACAAAAGGGCTTCGTTTTGGAGCCTTTACATGCACAATATTAACAATTCAGTTTGCAATATGCAGTTATAACACATTTACTATTTTAATACTAGGTCAATCACATTTGAGCATCTTTTAAAAAAAGGCTTATCTATAGGCTTGGGAGTACTAGATTTTTATTGATGAATGTCGGTAAAGATCAATTTCACTATCTATAGGTATAGAAACTGATGGAAAATATTTCCATTGATAATGAAACTTTGCAGAAATGGCAAGTAAGAACAAATGCTATGTGAGAACTTAAGAGTTTGATTTTAGGATATATGCTGTGATGTCGATATTTTGTGTTTTAAGAGTTATAAATCCTTAACTTTTTGAATCTCAAAACGTACTGTCATAACATAATTGTCTGACCCGCCCATCAATGGATATTCCCAACCCATAATTTCCTGCAACTGTGAAAACATTAAAATAAAAATATATAAAATGTCAAAAATATATTTTAAAAAAATCAAATTCTGCCACTCCTACTTACTTAATAAATTAATTTGAAGGAAAATCAAATTTTAAATAAGTTTCTGGTATAGTATGCTCTTTAGTATTTCCCCCAAATAGTTAAATTCCCAAGAGAAAAACAAAGCAGAATAAACAAAGCAGAAATAAAAATCAGTGTACATAATCTAGCTTTAATAAAACTATCATCCTTAGCAAAATGAATCCTCAATTGAAAGCACTCATGCTTAGAGCGCCTCTCCCTTGTTGAGATAAACTGCAACTACCATATTTATTTTGAAAAGATATATGAAATATCTTAATCTGGCTAAGCAGACTGCAAAATAGTTCTGTAAGTAAGAGACATTCTCACTCTGTTCCTAACACAATATGTGCATGTGCACACACAGTGGATAAGAGTCAAACTACAATAAAATATCTAGGAAGTTCATTCAGCCTCTTCCTATCTGATCTTGCTCATGAATGTGGTTATTCAAGGCTGAATGAACTTCCTATCTGATCTTGCTCATGAATGTGGTTATTCATAAGGTTACCCTTGTTGGGTTACCCTTGTTGACCAATCCCTGATCCCTCTGGCATGAAATGATCTACAAATCCTTGGTTGGAACTTGGAACCTATGTCTGTCAGCATGAGTCCAAGGATGTGATACTAGCTCTTTCTACAAATGTTTCTGAAAATGGCTTTCGAGACTGGTATAGATTAAATCTCCTTTAAGGTGCACAGCATAACTCCATACATAGGTAGGCCTTGTAAACGTATCACACCAGCAAATATGAACACTAGTCTTTAACATGCTGTAACCCCAATTTGATCCAAGACCCAGTTTCTGTCTTCAGCAATCTCCTTCATTTCACTATGATTTCAGAAGGATATGTCAGGACATATTTGGCCTTCCGGCCTTCAGAGTGTATAGATACTTGCAAGACAACTGTGTATAATTTGGTATCTTAGAGAACATTGGCATTACTAGCACTAGAATGTTAATGCTTGTCTTATTTCTGGAGGTAGTGATAGTGTAATTCAGAGAGTAAAAATAGTTTTTGTGGCAGTTTGTTTTCCACACCCAGTCAGAGAAGCTCTTCTACTTTTAGAATGGATGGGATGAAGTGAAATCTAAGCTAGTTGTAATCATGACATAGAGAAGGAAGTGACTGTAGAGGCTAGTATTGCTGAGACATTGGCAGTCTTACAGTCCTTTTTCTTATGATTAAAAGTTGCTAAATTACTAGAAAAAAGTTGTGTGGTGTGATGCATATGGGTGCTCTCACTCATTTCTTTTAAGAGGCCACTGCTGTGCAGTTTGTGCCATGGTAAGGGGATTGTCTGTGTAATCAATAGGTTATCTTAATTAGGTATAAAGCACATTTTAAAAGCTAATGCAGCTCCTCTGCTGCTGCTACTACCACTGGCCTTGCTTACCGGAATGCCTACTAGTAATTACTGCTAGTATATTTCAACTCTTTAAAATGTTTAATAATTCTGTTCCAATAGTGGAATTCTACATATGAAAAAAGTAACAAGGTAACTTACTTTGACTTTTTAGTCCAATATTAGAGAACAAGTAGAAAGGCCCCAGCAATATCCAATCTTAGAAATTTTAAAGAAAAAATTAAATTATTCTTTTTAGCTATAAGTGTTTTGTAAAAGCTGCAGCATTTTTAAACAGCTGCATATTCCATAGAAAATAACTAATTACATCTGTTTCATAGTATGAATCGCAAAGAACGTAGAACCTCATCAAAATAACTGTGACTTGACACAATAAGTAGGCTGCAAATAAGGATAATGGGTATTCTAAAATGGATGTTTTTTCCTCCCTCAATCAAAACAGTAGATTTTAATAGTCTGAGCAGAACATTAAGAAACAATACTGTAAGAAATAACACAATCAATATTAGCTGAAATGACAATTGAAAGGCAAAGGATAGGAATCAAACATTTAACACAAACCAAAGCCATCTGTTGAAGGTATCTTTAACACTTATACGAAAAACTCCTAAATGGAGCCAGTAAGTGCTTACCCATTCTGAAAAATCTCACCTTTCCTCCTTGACTGCAGTCCTCTGATTTCTTATGCCAAAGGGTTTTGCAAACAGTCCCAGTCATAATCAGTAGTGTCTTGCTTCCTATTCAGTATCAGGACAGATTTGTCCCCTAGCACATCCATGAAAACAACTACCTGTATTTCAAGGCTTGTTTACACAGGAAGTTTATGTTGAAAGTCTTCATTATTCAAGTTCAGCTTCAGGAGAGCTATTTAGCATATTGTAAAGGAAGTAAAAATCCACACAATATACTTTTATATTTGAAAGATAACACTATCATTAAAATGTAACTAGAATGCACATAATTTGAGAGCAGGAGGCTTCCTCCATTTATAATTATTTTAGAAACTATAGAGTCTCTAATTGTAGTTTTATTAATAATTTGCATCTACCGTATTTTCCGGCGTATAAGGCGACTGGGGGTATAAGACGACCCCCTAATTTTTTAATTAAAAGATAGGGTTTAATCTTATACCCCAGCGCCCCTCCGCCTCCTTTGATCCCGGTGTCCCTGGTCTGCTGGAGACAGTCTCCAGCAGACCAGAGGCACCAGGAGCAAAGCCGCAGCAGCTTTGCAAAGCCTCGGGGGAAGCCGGTGGGGGGGCATCCCAGGCGGGCCTGGGATGTATACCCGGCGTACAAGACGACCCCCAATTTTTGGGGGATGTTTTTTAACATCAAAAGTCATCTTGTACGCTGGAATCTACGGTATTACAATTGGAAAAGGTACAGAGAGGACAACAAAAATGTTTCATACCCCTCCTTAGCTTCTGTATGAGTAGAAGTTAACAAGACTGAGAATGATCAGTTTAGAAAAGGGACAACTGAGGGGAGGTATGGTAGAGGTCTATGAATGGTATGGGGAAAGTGAATAAGGAAGTGTCATTCATCCTTTTACATACCCCAAGAACCAAGGATCACCCAATGAAATGAATAGGCAGCAAATTTAAAACACAAGTAGGCATTTTTTTTCCCCCAGAACACGGCATCAAACGGAACTTGTTGCCAGAAGATGTTGTGAAGGTCATAAATCCAAGTGATTTCATACAAGAATTAGATACATTTATGGAAGGTAGCCCGGGGCGAGAAAAGCCCCCTTCGTACCTGCAAGTCGGGGACTGCCTATATGTTTATACCCAGCGTATAAGATGACCCCCGATTTTTGGGGGATGTTTTTCAGTATAAAAAGTCGTCTTATACGCCGGAAAATACGGTAAGTTTTAGCAATTGCTTAGTTCCTTTTATAATTTTTTAGGTGTGACAAGGCTGATGCTATGAGCATAAAATATATAAAAAATATTTAAATGCTTTCTTCCACTGCATTGCAATAGTTACCAAGTGAGGCTATGCCTACAGAGCTGGCTTCTTGCGCAAGAACTGTTTTGCGGAAGAGTTCTTGTGCAAAAGATCTTCCACAAGAGTGCATCCACACTGCCATGTGCTTTTGCACCGCCTACAGAGCAGGCTTCTTGCGCAAGAACTGTTTTGCGGAAGAGTTCTTGTGCAAAAGATCTTCCACAAGAGTGCATCCACACTGCCATGTGCTTTTGCACAAGAGATGTGCTTTTGGAGGAGAACGTCCATGGCAGTGTGGACGCTCTCTTGCACAAGAAAGCTCTGATGGCCATTTTAGCCATAGGGGTTTCTTGCGTAAGAAATTCATATTGCCTGTCTACACTGCCTTCTTGTGGAAGAGCTCTTGCGCAAGAGGGCTTATTCCTCGTGAGGAAAGGAATAACTCTTCCAGCAAAAGCTCTCTGTCCTGTCAATTTACTGTTTTTGTTTTTTTTTTTAATCAGGGGGTAGCCGTGTTAGTCTGAAGCTGCAAAAGCAACGCCTATATGTACTATTTCTGTCCTATCGGTAACCATAGGTCACCAAAAATATTTTCCAACAAAGGGTGTCACACCCTATGAATTCTTTATTTTCTTGAAAAACTGATTGTTGCATTAAGCCAGGTCCTGTTAAATGAGCACTCTTCAGGGTCTAATCCCATCTACATCTAAACACTTGAGCAGCTTGCCTGTGTAAAGTTTAGGATAAGGACTGGACCCATGTTTCTGATCTCAACCTAGCAAATAACATTGAAAAAACATACAGTACTATATCTTTTGAATTCTGTATAATGCTAGTTGATACCAGTTATAACAGTTCCTCTGATTTTAAGGAACTGTTTTATATGACAATTCCGCTCTATTAACAGTGAATAGAAGGCACTCTATGGCAGATAGGTAAAAAGTTCATACAATTACTTGTTGAAGTCTTGGCAACTTGACTTCAGGAAAAATACTTTTTTTCCCCTCGGGCCCCTTGTTAATGCTTATAGCGAAGTCATAGAAGCTTCCACAAAATCTCAATATTTTCTCACAAAAGCCATTAGATTAAAGAATGTTCATTTGGGCAGCTGCTAGAACCAAGAAGAGGACATCCATATAGACCTGACTCTCATTCTTCATTTTTCTTTGCCTCTGAAAATGAAATAAAAAAGTTAACTTGTGATGCACTGATTATTATGATATATGTTAAAGGGGCACTTATCTTGAGAGTACCTTTAAATACTATGTCCTGAATAGTTTGCCACTCTGAGAGAACCACTATCCATCCTTAGCAATCCCCATCCTCTCCATCCCCCTCCTCTTTGTGCATATTTTAGTTGCACTGCTGCTGTTACTAGCAAACACCTTCTTGCAAAGATTAACAAAAACTATGTATGTGAAAGGTCCTCTCAGTCATCTGCATGGTTTGTGTCATGCAGTGATCTATCAACACACCAGTGACACTGGTTGGATACAAATGAACAACTTAAGGGAGAATCAGTGTGGGCATGCTGTTGTGTATCATGCCAACCACAATCTGATCTTGCTATTTTATGTCCCAAAAAATTATCCCTTTTAAAAAAAATATTTTTAAAGACATAATTATTCATGGAGTTGCTGCCACATATCGGGTTTCATGTTGCTAATGCCTTTGAGACAATGGCATTGGTCATGTATGCTGGTTGCTTGTTGGGCTAGCGAACTGAAGGCAATTGTTAAAAATTATCAGAGAAAGACAGGAATTCACATCCTGCATTAGATTCTAGGACAGGGGCAGGGAACATTTTTAGAGCTGGGGGCTACTGATCCACAGAAAAATCAGTCAGGGGGCTGTGCACAAATGAGAAGCAAAAACCCCCAAACCATCACTGATGTGGCCCCCAAATGAGAAGCAGAAAGACACTCCCCACATTTCCCTTGCACACCAGAGCCTCGGTGGGCTCGATCGGGGCTTTATTGCGCAAAACAAATCTGAACTGTCTACACTGGCCCTTTTGCGCAAAAGCTTTGCGCAAAAGGGACTTTTGCCCGAATGGGAGCAACATAGTAGAATTTGTGTGCTCCAGCCTCATGGGGACCATGGGGGCTGGAGTGCCAGCACAGGCTTCTAAATGCTGGGGGGGAAGGGGGAGAAGCCCTGAGCCTGGGGGGCTGGATCCAGGCAAGCCAGGGGCCACATCCGGTCCCTGGGCCTTAGGTTCCCCATCCCTGCTCTAGGGTCATCTATTCCAGTATATCCTGTCTCTGAGATAGGGTTGTAAAAGCCATATAAATGTGCAATCTCTTTGAATCTTGCTAAATTTTTGTCCTGAAAGACATTCTGTGGTAGGGAGTCATGCAGTTCAATTACACGTTGTATGACAAAGTATTTCCTTTTAGCAGTTTAGAATTTCCACCTTTTAATTTCATGGAATATTCCCTTTGTTTTTGTGTTATGAGACAAGGAAATCAAATAGATATTCTCATTTTACCTTTGCTAGGCCATTTATTATTTTACAGACTTTCATCATATCCCCTCTTATTCATATCTAAAGGTAACAATTCCATCTTCATATGAGATTTTTCAATGCCCTGATCATGCTTGTCACCCATCTCTGAGTGCCCTCTGATTCTCCAAAATCCTTGTTGAAATGAGGTGAACGGTGCCACAAGGTATTCAAGATAAAGCCACACCAATGAGTCATATAACAGCATTATATTCTTTGTACTATTCACCATCACATTCCTTATGAGTCCTAACATATTATTTGCTTTTTGACCACAGTTGTACATTGAGCAGAGGTCTCCACTGTGCCATCCACAATGATAATAAGGCTTTGCAAAAGCTCAGAAGTGTTATGCTGAGACATGCAGCATGAAAGACAAATTCTGGCCACTTTGTCCAAAAACTTATCCTTGGCAATCAATTATTTAAAGTGACAAACATTTCTAGAGCTTTAGAAACAGAGGTGTCATTGAACACAGATACTATATTCACCAGACTTCGGTAGTCACAACACATATGGTCACAACACTTTGGTTCTACAGAATGGCCTAGCAATTTAAAAAAAAACAAAAAAAAACAAAAAAAGGAAATTGGCTAAAGCCAAAATTGTACAAACTGACAACATATTACACCCCATCACAAAAGTGTGAAAAGGAAGTGAGCACTCTATACCAGAAGTTGTGTCCACAACAGTATTTAAATATCAAATCTGCAACTACTGGCAAAATTTTTGTAAATTTACCAAACTGTTTATCCATTATGCCACCTGCCTTTCAGTGTTTATTACCCTTTGTGAAAAGCTGTTCATTATCCTGTAACACTAAAATGTACAAACTGGCTACATCTAGACTGGCATGATTTTCCGGAAATGCTTTTAACGGAAAAGTTTTCTGTTAAAAGCATTTGCGGAAAAGAGTGTCTAGATTGGCACGAACGCTATTCCGCAAAAGCACTTTTGCACAAAAGCATCCGTGGCCAATCTAGACGCGCTTTTGCACAAAAAAGCCCCGATCGCCATTCTTGCGATCGGGGCTTTTTTGCGCAAAACAAATCTGAGCGGTCTACACTGGCCCTTTTGCGCAAAAGCTTTGCGCAAAAGGGACTTTTGCCCGAACGGGAGCAGCATAGTATTTCTGCAAGAAGCACTAATTTCTTACATGAGATCGTCAGTGTTCTTGCGGAAATTCAAGCGGCCAGTGTAGATAGCTGGCAAGTTTTTCCGCAAAAGCAGCTGCTTTTGCAGAAAAGCTTGCCAGTCTAGACGCAGCCACTATGTTTCCCTCAGTGAACTTAACTGAAGCAAATTCATGCACATAAATGCCTAAAGCATAATCCAGAACTTGCTGCAGATGTGAGTGACAGTAAGCTCCCAGAAGCTATTCTCTATTGGCTTGAATGGAGACCAGTACAACACATTACTGGACTAAGTGCATGTCTACACAGCAGGGCTAAAGCCAAAATAAGCTATGCAACTTGAGCTATGTCAGTTGCATAGCTTAAGTCAAAATAGCTTATTTGAGCTTCTGGCACTGTCTACACAGCAGGAAGTCGGAGGTAGGGCACTCTTCCTCTAACTTGCCTTACTCCTCATAAAATGAGGGTTACAGGAGTTGGAGTAAGAAGTCCTCCAGTTCAACATTATTTTGCCATTATGTTGAAATAACTGCTTGTAGTGTTGATGAGGACTATGTTATTTCGGAATAAGGTTAGTTATTCCAAAATAACACTGCTGTGTAGACATACACTATGGGAGGACTGGACCAGTGCTATTCTGCATGATCAGATATAGATTTAAAATCAGACTGACATTAACCAGATTATTTAAGGTGCTAGAATATTCAAGTGACTTTAAAATAAATTATTGGAGGGTCTCAGTTCTGTTTAGTGAGACCTAAAACAAGCTAAACAAGCTAAAAACAAGAATAAAAAGAAGCAGCCCTGACACAAAAGTCCAAACCAGAACATGTAGAATGAGAAAAATACCTCTGGAAAATCAAATCACCAACAATATTATGTTTTTAATTTAATTGAGAGATTGAAGCAATGCTGGTTTTTTATCAGACAGCCAGAGTTAAACAGAATTTACTTCCTCCTTTTTGCTTGGAAGACCAAGTGGCTTTAGCTATATGAGAAAGATTAGGCCATCCTAGGATTTGTACTTGGAATCTGAAGAAACTAGGAACCTTGAAAATACAGGTTTTCTGCTGAGAGGATGGTCCAGTGATTAGGTGCTAACATAGCAAGCAGGAGACTGAAGACCAGTTTCTTACTGTGTCACTTAATTTGTGGCTCTGGACAAGTCACTTAGTCTCTCTGTGCCCCAGTTCCTCATCTGTAAACTAGAGATAATGGAACAGGAGGCTGAAGACAGGGTGGTTTGATAGAGAGCACAAGAGATCCCGTCACTGATCAAGCTGCCAGGAGAGTGTATTAGCTTTGGCGTAAGTGAGCTTGCTGGACTGTTTGTTTGCATTTTGTTTCTGTTCTGTTGCAGTTGATTTCAGTTACTGTGGCAATTCGTATTGTGCAACTGGGAGTGTTTGATCTTCTGTTCTCTTGATTACTTTTGATCAGCCTCACTCAGCATTGGGATCAGCCTCCCCCGTGTGGCTAACAAGGGGGTAGGCCTGACCTAAGTGAGAAGGCTTTAAAAGCCACAGGCGGGACGACCAGGAGAGCAAAGCGGACAGGGGGCTGCAGACAGAGGAGTTTGAAAGAGGGGGTCCTAATATGGTTAAGAAGACTCGCAACAGCAGTGCCAGCACTGCTTCTTTCTCCTCGGCCTGCACCTGTAGCCAGACAGACCACCTGGCCATGGATGCCTCTATCCCAGCGGTTCCCAACTTTTTCCAGATGGGGACCCATTTTGACAGTTCAGGAAGACTTGGTGACCCAGGGCAATTCAAAAAATGTGTGAATGGCTCCTTAAGAGCCACCTGGCGACCCTTTTGAAATGTGATAGCAACCTATAGGTTGGGAAACCCTGCTCTAGCCAGATCCTGATGTGGTTTTGCAGGCACTGTGGCTTGCAATTCCCACTTACTGAAATCCGGGCTGGGGAGACCATCCAATGTGAAAGGTGCCTGCTGGTGGAATTTCTCAGGAAGCAGGTGGGAGAACTATAGAAGGAGGTGGCTAGGCTGAGGAGCATCCGAATCCACAAGGAATTCCTTGAGAGTATTCATGTGGAGACTGCTGAGGCTGAGGAAACTATCCCATTACAAAAGACTGAGGACACACCACTGGTGGAAGAGGAGATGGCTCTGATTCAGGGAGTCACTGGCAGCTGGTCATTTCTGGTAGCAGGCAGTGCTCCACCTCTGCTCCCAACCCACCCACCATGGTTCTGGAGAACCATTATGCTGTCCTGGATATGGGAGCTAAGGAATCACCCCCTAAAGCAGAAGAGGAAAAGCCTTGTACCCTCAAGGCTGGGAGGTCTGCAGCCACCACTGAAAGAAGGAAACGTAGGGTAGTGGTGTTTGGAGACTCTCTTCTGAGGGGGATGGAGGGACCCATCTGTTGCCCTGACATCTTGGGAGGTATGCTGCCTGCCAGGAGCCCATATCAGAGATGTTACAGAGGCATTATCGAGGATTATCCAACCCTATACTACTCATCCATGTGGACACAAATGATACTGCAAGGTGTGACCTTGAGCAGATCA